ATATATATATATATATATATATATATATATATATATATATATATATATATATATATATATATATATATATATATATATATATATTCTCCTCATGTGTGCAGCCCCGCCCCACTATATGTACCTCTGTCATCATCTGTATAACCCTCCCCCACCCCCCTTTTTTATACACACAAAACAAACCATATGTCCATCCCACTATGTTTACAGCCCCCTCTTGAATATAGGTACACCCCCTTGTCCCTATCCTTTTAGATGTGTACACCGCGCAGTGCGTACAACTCCATAAATAAGTGATATTGTGTATTTGTGTAGTATTTATTGTTTCATTTGTGTATCTTTCCTTGACGTACACCATTTAAAATTTATCAGTATGTCTACACCTTCCCTGACACAAAAACGCACACACATGTAGCGTATGAAACAGGACCATTATACCAAGAAGACACACACACACACACACACACACACACACACACATGTAGCGTATGACACAGGACCTTTATACCAAGAAGACACACACACACACACACACACACACACACACACATGTAGCGTATGACACAGGACCATTATACCAAGAAGACACACACACACACACACACACACACACACACATGTAGCGTATGACACAGGACCATTATACCAAGAAGACACACACACACACACACACACACACACATGTAGCGTATGACCATTATATCAAGAAGACACATACACACACACACACACATGTAGCGTATGACCATTATATCAAGAAGATACATACACACACACACACACACATGTAGCGCATGACACATGACCATTATACCAAGAAGACACACACACACATACACACATAGAGGAATGACACATTACCATTAAACCAAGAAGACACACACAGATGTAGCGTATGACACATGACCATTACACCAAGAAGACACACACACACACACATGTAGCGTATGACACATGACCATTATACCAAGAACACACACACACATATGTAGCGTATGACACATAACCATTATATCAAGAAGACACAGACACATATGTAGCGTATGACACATAACCATTATATCAAGAAGACACACACACACATGTAGCGTGTGACACATGACCATTATATCAAGAAGACACAGACACATATGTAGCGTATGACACATAACCATTATATAAAGAAGACACAGACACATATGTAGCGTATGACACATAACCATTATATCAAGAAGACACAGACACATATGTAGCGTATGACACATAACCATTATATAAAGAAGACACAGACACATATGTAGCGTATGACACATAACCATTATATCAAGAAGACACACACACATATGTAGCGTATGACACATAACCATTATATCAAGAAGACACAGACACATATGTAGCGTATGACACATGACCATTATATCAAGAACACACACACACATATGTAGCGTATGACACATGACCATTATATCAAGAAGACACAGACACACATGTAGCGTATGACACATAACCATTATATCAAGAACACACACACACATATGTAGCGTATGACACATAACCATTATATCAAGAAGACACAGACACACATGTAGCGTATGACACATAACCATTATATCAAGAACACACACACACATATGTAGCGTATGACACATAACCATTATATCAAGAAGACACAGACACACATGTAGCGTATGACACATAACCATTATATCAAGAACACACACACACATATGTAGCGTATGACACATGACCATTATATCAAGAACACACACACACATATGTAGAGTATGACACATGACCATTATATCAAAAAGACACACACACATGTAGCGTATGACACATGACCATTATTTCAAGAAGACACACACACATGTAGCGTATGACACATAACCATTATATCAAGAACACACACACACACATATGTAGCGTATGACACATAACCATTTTATCAAGAAGACAAACACACACATGTAGCATATGACACATGACCATTATATCAAGAAGACAAACACACACATGTAGCGTATGACACATGACCATTATATCAAGAAGACACACACACATATGTAGCGTATGACACATAACCATTATATCAAGAAGACACAGACACATATGTAGCGTATGACACATAACCATTATATCAAGAAGACACAGACACATATGTAGCGTATGACACATAACCATTACACCAAGAAGACACACACACACATGTAGCGTGTGACACATGACCATTATATCAAGAACACACACACACATATGTAGCGCATGACACATAACCATTATATCAAGAAGACAGACACACTGGAGACAAACCAATCTTCAGCTGTAGTAAATATGTTTATTAGTGGTTTTGAAGTTGGGTACAATCATTGCTTGTTGGTGCCTGTCAGGAGAGGCTCGATCTCTGCTAACTAATGACATGGGAGACACAATCATTGCTAGAAAGTTATGTGGGAGACACAATCATTGCTAGAAAGTTATGTGGGAGACACAATCATTGCTAGAAAGTTATGTGGGAGACACAATCATTGCTAGAAAGTTATGTGGGAGACACAATCGTTGCTAGAAAGTTATGTGGGAGACACAATCGTTGCTAGAAAGTTATGTGGGAGACACAATCATTGCTAGAAAGTTATGTGGGAGACACAATCATTGCTAGAAAGTGATGTGGGAGACACAATCATTGCTAGAAAGTGATGTGGGAGACACAATCATTGCTAGAAAGTTATGTGGGAGACACAATCATTGCTAGAAAGTGATGAGGGAGACACAATCATTGCTAGAAAGTTATGTGGGAGACACAATCATTGCTAGAAAGTAATGTGGGAGACACAATCATTGCTAGAAAGTTATGTGGGAGACACAATCATTGCTAGAAAGTTATGTGGGAGACACAATCATTGCTAGAAAGTTATGTGGGAGACACAATCATTGCTAGAAAGTTATGTGGGAGACACAATCATTGCTAGAAAGTTATGTGGGAGACACAATCATTGCTAGAAAGTTATGTGGGAGACACAATCATTGCTAGAAAGTTATGTGGGAGACACAATCATTGCTAGAAAGTTATGTGGGAGACACAATCATTGCTAGAAAGTTATGTGGGAGACACAATCATTGCTAGAAAGTTATGTGGGAGACACAATCATTGCTAGAAAGTTATGTGGGAGACACAATCATTGCTAGAAAGTTATGTGGGAGACACAATCATTGCTAGAAAGTTATGTGGGAGACACAATCATTGCTAGAAAGTTATGTGGGAGACACAATCATTGCTAGAAAGTTATGAGGGAGTCACGGTCATTGCAAAAATAGAGCACCACAACAGACAATTTTAGAATGTGAATGTGTGCTTAAACCAAATATATAGAACCCAAAAGAAGAAGAAGAAGAAGAAAGAAGAAGAAGAAAAAGAAGATGATGATGATCTAGAAGAAGAAGAAGAAGAAAAAGAAGAAAAGGAAGAAGAAGAAAAAGAAGAAGAAAAATAAGAAGAAGAAGAAGAAGGAGAAGACGAAGAAGAAGCTTTCTGGAAACACGAGAGATGTAAAACCACTTGCCATTTTGTACAGCAGCTGTGCCAGAGAGCATAACACAATATCGTACTAACATGGGGGCATGTTTTAAAAAAAAAACATCTTATTTTCTGGGATCGGAAATGCAAAAGACAATAAAATCATGTCTATTGAAACTAAATAAAAAAATAAAAAAAAGAAGAAAAAAAAATGTAAACCGAAGAATGTGAGCAACAACCAAAAACAGACACATAGTGATTCCCACGCGAAATTATGAGCCAATCAGATGACCCGGATGTGCCGGATTCTGCTCTCACAAACCAAAGATGGCGGCTGTTGTCTATTTGGATCTTCTCATGTCCGGATCATTTTTTAGGGCATTCTCCGCCTCCCGTTTACAAGGCGCGATACTTCGTAGGAACTGCAAACCATTGCCGCTGGCCTTGGCAAGCTCGTTCTGTTAAGGGTGTCAAAAAAATTGAGAATTACCAAAGTAACAAATAAACGACAGAAACATGAAGTGTCAAAGTAAAATACATATTGTATGTCAGCTGCATATCTAGCTAATCTTTCTGTGTTCGGTTCTTTTCTTTTATTTCATCTCCGTCTTGGGGACGCCGAGATTTCGTAGTGAGTTCCCGAGAAAGTCTAATATTATTGTTGGCAAGAGAGGGGGGGGGAGGGGGGGGGGCTTAGGTAGGATTGCAGTTAGTGTTAGTTGGTAGTTAGTGGTAGTTTCACATCCTAAAACCCCTATATATTTGGACTTTCCCTACGAAATCTCGGATTCCCCGAGATGGGGTGAAATAAAAGAAAAGAACACTCTCTTCTTATTCTTAGCGTTCACTGTCGGTAAATGCTGTCGGAAAGTTCTGGGGTTTCACTTACTTCTGGACTGTGGTGTTCATCCAGAACTCGAGTTTTGCGTGCACAAAATCTGGCTTGTTTGTGTGCAGACTGTTGGTTCCTTTTGTTTCAGCCAGACGTACTCCGACTTTGAAGGAGACAGTTTTAAATTGGTCACCTCTGGCGATTTGCTTTGTATCAAAGAGTGGGTCAACCCCCCCCCCCCAACAACCACGTCTCCTCCACACTACCAAATAGGGTCCCAGAACCCACACGTGGAGTCAGGGAGACGAAGCTAGACTAATGCTTGATTTGATTTGAGTTGATACAAGAACCGACATCGCAGCACGCAGGGCATTCCCATAAGCGCTCCGTTCCCATTTTTAGCAGCCAGCAAAGAGTTCCGATACTAATGGTGCCAGTAGCATTCTGACTGAAAGTCTTTTAAGAAAACAAATTGAAAATTGTTGAGGCTCTAAAAATGTTGATGAAACAACATAAATGTTGGAGAATTTATGGCAGCAGCAGTAATGCTGGAGGTTTTTAAACAAAATACAGCAATATGAACCCAAAATTCTCGCTTGTCTAAGCCCATTTCATAAACCATGTATTCTTACCAGTAGAAACCACACACTCTCACCAGTACAAACCACATACTCTCACCAGTACAAACCACATACTCTCAGATGTACAAACCACATACTCTCACCGGTACAAACCACATACTCTCACCAGTACAAACCACATACTCTCACCAGTACAAACCACATACTCTCACCAGTACAAACCACATACTCTCACCCGTACAAATCACATACTGTCACCTGTACAAACCACATACTCTCACCAGTACAAACCACATACTCTCACCGGTACAAACCACATGCTCTCACATGTACAAACCACATACTCTCACCAGTACAAACCACATACTCTCACCAGTACAAACCACATACTCTCACCAGTACAAACCACATACTCTCACCAGTACAAACCACATACTCTCACAGGTAGAAACCACATACTCTCACCTGTACAAACCACATACTCTCACCTGTACAAACCACACACTCTCACCTGTATGTACCGCCAGATGTTGCCCCTCATGCAAGGCTCCATCTTCATGTGTTTGAGGACCATCTGGGCGCACCTCGGCTCGCACCTGGTCAGGTTCCTGCAGGTGTAGATGATCTCCTTGAATGCTCGGGTGCTGTCTATTTCGCGAAGGAAGTCACGGAGACTAGAGCAGCCTTCCATCCCATTGCTATCACACAAGCTGTGGGTACACATAGTCAAATCAGTGTTTATTTCCGGTGCCACACACGTGTCAGATATTCGACTGACCAGACAGAGATGTGATTTCTTTTGAATGTATGTGTAATTTTAATAATACTGAAATGCTCTAACACTAAAATTCAGAATCCCTGTAAGAAGAAGAAGAAGAAGAGGAAGAAGAAGAAGAAGAAGAAGAAGAAGAAGAAGAAGAAGAAAAAGAAGAAGAAGAAGAAAGAGAAGAAGAAGAAGAAAAAGAAAAAAGAAGAAAAAGAAGAAGACGACGAAAAAGAAGAGGAAGAAAAAGAAGGAAGAAGAAAAAGAAGAAGAAGAAAAAAGAAGAAGAAGAAAAAGAAGGAGAAGAAGAACAAGAAGGAGAAGAAGAAGAAGAAGAAGAAAATGAAGAAAGAAGAAAAAGAAGAAGAAAGAAGAAGATTCAAAGAGCCAAACACCTTTCCATCGTAGTTTACCTCAATCCCATAATCTCCAGACAGGTGGGACTGGTCAGGTTCACACGAGGGTAGTAAGTAATGAACCCAAAACACATCTCATCCAAGGTGCCATCGCCCCATTCAACATCCTCCTTCCTGCCCAAGGTGTTGAACCCACACGTAGTCACGATAGAATCGCCGGGAAACAGCTCCAGCGGTTCTTTACTGAAGCAGCAGAACAGTTCAACAGATTGATCGTTTTCAAAAACAATGATTTCCAGTAATGTCAATAAATAGTGCGGACACGGACACTAAGTTGCACAATTTATTGTTCTTCAATTTCTTCTTCTTTATCTTCTTCTTCTTTGTCCTACTGCTTATGTCATCAAGTGTCACAGTTCTTTGTCCTACTGCTTATTTCATTGTGTCGTAGTTCTTTGTCCTACTGCTTAGGTCATCAAATGTTACAGATCTTTGTCCGACTGCTTATGTCATCAAGTGTCACAGTTCTTTGTCCGACTGCTTATGTCATCAAGTGTCGCAGTTCTTTGTCCTACTGCTTATGTCATCAAGTGTGGCAGTCTTTTGTTCTCCTGCTTATGTCATCAAGTGTCACAGTTCTTTGTCCTACTGCTTATGTCATCAAGTGTCGCAGTTCCTTGTCCTACTGCTTATCTCATCAAGCGTCGTAGTTCTTTGTCCGTCTGATTATGTCATCAAGTGTCGCAGTTCTTTGTCCGACTACATCCGACTACTTATGTCATCAGAAAGTCTATGTGCTACATTTTTCTTCAGAAGCTTTCCTCTAGTGTTCTGCACAGTAATGATTCTGTAGCCACTAATCTTGGAATGATCTTTATTTGGTTTTGGTAATCTACACACATGTGTCAATTAATGTGTATTCTATTTTTTTTTTTTTGGCACAGAAGTTATTAGTAAAACAAAGAACAAATAAATTCGCCGCTTCAAGAAAACAGCAGCATCTGCACAGTTATAAATTGTAGATTCATAGGGAAATGCGTTATCTAAGGCCACATGCAAACATTCGTGTTTGATCCGTGCGGACGTTCTGTGATATTTGTTAAAGTTGGACGGCATTAGTTTTGAAACGCACTGTAGTTGTAGTTTCTTGTCGTTAGCTAGTGTATAGAATGTTTTAACGTCCTACTGCGTTTCTGCAGTGTCTCTTTTATTACCTCCACCATTCTCTTTATCTTGGCCTCTTGCCTTGCACCCTGCTGTTCTTGTGTGGTACACTTTAACTGCTGGATGATTTCGTTCCATTTTGATCATATGACCAAACCATTTGAATCTTTGATGTTGTGTGAAATCAGTCACCGGTACTGTGACTACTAAGTTTTTAGTCCTGGTTGGTGACTCTGTCTCTTCGTGTGTGTGTGTGTTTTTTTTTTTTTTTTTTTTCCGGCTTCATCTCTTATAATCTCATCTCATCATTATTCCGTAACACTACGTGACGTTGGGTCACCAGTTTCTGTTGACTGTCTGACCAGCTCTCTCCACCTTTGGCGGTCAGTTTGCGATGAACTTCATGGTTGCATGCCTGTGGCCTGTCCAGTCAGTCAGGTTCTGTAAACCAGGTCTTTCTTGGTTTGCCTCTTCTCCTCTTTCCCTCTACTGAGCTCTGCAGTATTGTTTTTGAGAGGCCGTTAGATCTTATTACATGTCCATACCATTGCACAAAAATAATTGAACAGAATCAATCTCATCTTACATGATGTAATTTTGCGTTTATGTTTTTATAGTACCGTCAATGTCTGACATTTATATCACAACGTGCAAAATTTATTACCAAGCATATTTTGCTGTATCTCGACAGGTGTATTGCTACAGAATATTTCAATGAAATTTATTTATGCTTCATTACATACTGTGTGACTCTGTAGTAGAAATACATACAACGAAATTAATTCGTGCTTCAGTACACACTGTGTGACTCTGTAGTAATAATACATACAACGAAATTAATTCGTGCTTCAGTACATACTGTGTGACTCTGTAGTAGAAATACATACAACGAAATTAATTCGTGCTTCAGTACATACTGTGTGAATCTGTAGTAGAAATACATACAACGAAATTAATTCGTGCTTCAGTACATACTGTGTGAATCTGTAGTAGAAATACATACAACGAAATTAATTCGTGCTTCAGTACATACTGTGTGAATCTGTAGTAATAATACATACAACGAAATTAATCCGTGCTTCATTACATACTGTGTGACTCTGTAGTAATAATACATAAATACATATGCCAGGCCAATAAATTGTTCAATGTATTGTCTGTGTACGCATTAATACCACAATCAAGTTAATCAGCTACAGAATGACATTAACTACACAACATAATATGAAAATAAACTTTGGCAATTTAGCAAATGATTACTAGCATCTTTATCCCTACTTTATACTATCAGTGCCAAACGTGGAAAATGAATGGGGCAGTAGAACATTAACAAAAAACTGCATGTGAAATGCACTGTCTCTGCAAGGTCATTAACAACACTCTACAGGACAGGCTTACGAATACCAGCATTAGAAATTTGGAATAAGACCATGTCTGGATTATATTGATAGACAAAGAAGGAAATGGTTCGGCCATCTGGTGAGAATGCAGCCAGACCAGACTGCATAGAAGACTTTTTACAGTAGAACATCTGGGAGGAAGGCGAGAGGAAGACCAACACAGAGATGGATAAATGGTGTAGATGAAACCAGCAAAAAGATTAACAAACACATCACTCAAGTCACCCGAGAAGCACAAGACAAATACAGAAAACCACGTCAATGTGGTATAACCTGGTAACAGTGAGACGGCAAAAGAAGAGAAGATAGAAGAAGAATACAGAAGTCGTGAGTATAGCACGAGAATATCAATCGAGCCTGCCCTAGCTCGGAAACAGATCTTCTGTTGACCTACGAGGCCTAGATGTACCAAGCTTGAAATAGACACAAGAAGAATTATTGTAATTGATGATTTTTGAAGAAGAAGTAGAAGAAGAAGAAGAAGAAGAAGAAGAAGAAGAAGAAGAAGAAGAAGAAGAACAACAACAACAACAACAACAACAACAACAACAACAACAACAACAACAAGAGTGGTAGCTGGTAACTGTAGCTGAGAACATGTTCGCAGTTATTAATAAGAGGTGATGATGATGATGATGATGATAGCCGAGCAGCGTGAACACGAACTTGCTGAACACTTGAGGACTGTCGTAGCTGTACACTTTGTCGTGTGTGATGTAGGCCACATGAACGCCGTTTCGGAGAACCTCCATAATCATGTCTAATCCTACAAGGGGGCAAAAGCCAATAATCCTATATATATATACATATATATGTATGTGTGTGTGTGTGTGTGTGTGTTTTTGTGTGTGTGCGTGTGTGTATGTGTGTACACATAAATAATTGGTTGGCACTATGTAAGACTGCTCTAACTGCAGCGGATCCAACAGAGATAGAATATTAGGGTAGTGAAAAACTCCAAACAAAGAAAATCTTTGAGTTTCCGATCAAGGATTCTATAGGTGCTAAGAGTTTTGATTATGATTAGAGTTAGGGTTAAGCGTAGTGTAAAACAGTGTTTCTGAGGCGCTCGGGGCTGACAAAGATCCGAAACCTAACCCTAACCTCATCCCCTAACACTCTTAGAATATTGGACTTTCGTCGGGTGAATTAAAATTAAACAGCTAACATTAGGAATCACCGGTGGGGGGGTTTAGGGGGAAGCTCTAGTACTTAACATCCCCCTGCCCCCAGTTTCCCTTCCAGCCACATTCATTTGCTGTGTGGTGGAGGTAGGGGTTCAAAGGGCCTAATCTTAGTTTGTAAGAAAACATAATAAGGCTGTGCTTATATAGGGACTGATATGTTTGTGTGTGTATGTTTATGTGTGTTTCAGCTTAACACGTGAAGTCCACTCATATATATATATATATATATATATATATATATATATATATATATATATATTATATATATATATATATATATACATACACACACACACACACACATATATATTCCCAGATATTCTCTAAAAAAGGGAGGGGTCACTAACACCAAATTTGATGAACATCGAAGCAAATCAAGTTTAGGCCAATATAGCACCAATTTTGAATTGTAGGCATGTGAATACCAACACTGAAAAAACACGGTTCTACACAATATGCTTACTAATGCTATACTATCAACCTCAAACGTGGACATACATAGAAAACAAGGGGAAAATAGTCACATTAGAAGGGAAATTCTATACTATCAACCTCAAACGTGGACATACATAGAAAACAACGGGAAAATAGTCACATTAGAAGGGAAATTCATTTGTCAGAGGCACACAAAGGAGTTAATGCTCACCACAAAAAATGTCTAGAAGGATTTGGTTCTAGTTTTCGTCTGTGGCTCAGGCGTTGCGAACAAGCTTCGTAATGCCGGGGTACCGGGTTCGATCCCAGCTGCGGGGCTTTGCTTTATGGTCCAAAAACAATGGCAAACTACTGGATGTAAACCTGCCTAGAAAAGCCACAACAGCCAAGAAATGCAGGGGTTGGTTCTGCAACGTCATGTAAAGGATACGCAATTAAATTTTATCTAGCCACGAGGTAGCTGTCGTGGTGCAGGGGTTAGTAGCTCGCCTGTAGGTCCGAAAGTCATGGATTCAAATACCAACTATGACCTTGGCTTCCAGACCGACCCAACCTAAAATGGGTACCAGGTCAAGATATGGAAAGTAAAGGTGGTCAGCAAAATGATGATCAGATCACCGACCGAGTGCCGATTGGTCTAGAAAATACAGATCTACCACTGTATGACCGAAACGTCAAAAGGGCATGGACAAGTGTTATTCACTTTTACTTAATCGCCACAAAGTGTCTGAAAAGGTTTTGCTACTCGCCACAAAGTGTCTATCACAGTTGCACTCAGATGTCCTGAGTAAATGTTCCGGTACTGCGTACTGCCAGAAAAACAGCCTTGTCTATAAAGATGTTAGCCTACCCAACAAATGCATGTGGTTCCAGGCGGAGGTGATGTTGATGCTGTGTTTGATCAACGTTCTGGTGCAGCCGCTGGCACAGTTGCTGGAAATGACTGCGTGTTTCTGGTTGGCTGGAATTTCGAAGTAGGTCGGACCGACCAGCATCACACTAGCGTCAAACTTCTTTCTGCAAGGATAACAGTGAAGTTTTTATTTTAAAGCTAGAAGAAAACCATTGGAGATGTGGATTTACAAAAGAATCCTTGCCCGGCTCTCTATCGTAGTTGGCTAAACCGGATTGCGCGGTGTCCGGGTGACGAACTCCCTGTGGTCCGGGTTCACTCCCGGGGTTAGGCAGAAAAGTCACATTTCTCCCAGATATGTGGTATCTATCATGGAATCAAGGCCGAAAGGTTGCTATATCTATAATACCGAGCCTAAGGGTTAACAACTCATGGCTTCTGGATACTAAAACAAACAAACAAAAGAATCCTTAGAATTAGAGGCATGGGAAGAAGCGTAAATAGGTGTTGTGGGTGTCATCTGAGTGTCATCACTGAGGGAGGAGTGGGTTACTGTGGTAGGAAGTTTTCCACACCGGGTACCGTCTGACCTTATAAAGCCAAAGTGCCTGATTAATTTCTGCCACTGTCTCTGTGCCAACTGCCAGAGTCTAACAACTATCAGATGAACCAACCGTAAGCTTGTCACTCTGGTCGTGAAGGTAGACAATATACAAAAGTTGAAACAACAGTTGGACTTCAACTTCTGCAGCACCCGCTGGCCACTCTCTGCACACCCGTCCCAATGTTATCATAACCCTACACAGGTCAGACTTTTCTGCTGGTACTCTGGCCACTCTCTGCACACCCGTCCCAATGTTATCATAACCCTACACAGGTCAGACTTTTCTGCTGGTACTCTGGCCACTCTCTGCACACCCGTCCCAATGTTATCATAACCCTACACAGGTCAGACTTTTTCTGCTGGTACTCTGGCCACTCTCTGCACACCCGTCCCAATGTTATCATAACCCTACACAGGTCAGACTTTTCTGCTGGTACTCTGGCCACTCTCTGCACACCCGTCCCAATGTTATCATAACCCTACACAGGTCAGACTTTTCTGCTGGTACTCTGGCCACTCTCTCCCGTCCCAATGTTATCATAACCCTACACAGGTCAGACTTTTCTGCTGGTACTCTGACCCCTCCTCTCCTCGTCCAATGTTCTCCAGCATGCACACTTGTCTTATTGTGTAAAGTTAGGTGTGAATATATAATTATGAACATTTATTCACAAGTCAGGTGGGAATTCAATATCAAATTACGAACATTTACTCAGAAGTTAGGTGTGAAGTGGCCATAATGATTACTAACATTTACTCACAAGTTAGGTGTGAAGTGAATATATAATTATGAACTTTTACTACCAAGTTAGGTGTGAAGTGAATATATAATTATTAACATTTACTTACAAGTTAGGTGTGAAGTGAATATATAATTATTAACATTTACTTACAAGTTAGGTGTGAAGTGAATATATAATTAATAATATTTGCTCACAAGTTAGGTGTGAAGTGAATATATAATTATTAACATTTACTTACAAGTTAGGTGTGAAGTAAATATCTAATTTTTAATATTTACTTACAAGTTAGGTGTAAAGTGAATATATAATTAATAATATTTACTTACAAGTTAGGTGGGAAGTGAATATATAATTATTAACATTTACTTACAAGTTAGGTGTGAAGTAAATATATAATTTTTAATATTTACTTACAAGTTAGGTGTGAAGTGAATATATAATTAATAATATTTACTTACAAGTTAGGTGGGAAGTGAATATATAATTATTAATATTTACTCACAAGTTAGGTGTAAAGTGAATATATAATTATTAACTTTTACTAACAAGTTAGGTGTGAAGTGAATATATTATTATTAACATTTACTTACAAGTTAGGTGTGAAGTGAATAAATAATTATTAACATTTACTTACAAGTTAGGTGTAAAGGGAATACATAATTATGAACTTTTACTTACAAGGTAGGTGTGAGGTGAATATATAATTATCAACATTTACTTACAAGTTAGGTGTGAAGTGAATATATAATAATTAATATTTACTTACAAGTTAGGTGTGAAGTGAATATATAATTTTTAACATTTACTTAAAAGTTATTTGTCAAGTGAATATATAATTATTACAATTTACTTACACGTTAGGTGTGAAGTGAATATATAATTATCAACATTTACTTACAAGTTAGGTGGGAAGTGAATATATAATTATTTATATTTACTCACAAGTTAGGTGTGAAGTGAATATATAATTATTAACCTTTACTTACAAGTTAGGTGTGAAATGAATATATAATTATTAATATTTACTTACAAGTTTGGTGTGAAGTGAATATATAATTATTAATATTTACTTACAAGTTAGGTGGGAAGTGAATATATAATTATTAATATTTACTCACAAGTTAGGTGTGAAGTGAATATATAATTATTAACATTTACTTACAAGTTAGGTGTGAAGTGAATATATAATTATTAACATTTACTTACAAGTTAGGTGTGAAGTGAATATATAATTATTAACATTTACTCAGAAGTTAGGTGTGAAGTGGCCATAATGATTACTAACATTTACTCACAAGTTAGGTGTGAAGTGAATATATAATTATGAACTTTTACTACCAAGTTAGGTGTGAACTGAATATATAATTATTAACATTTACTTACAAGTTAGGTGTGAAGTGAATATATAATTATTAACATTTACTTACAAGTTAGGTGTGAAGTGAATATATAATTAATAATATTTGCTCACAAGTTAGGTGTGAAGTGAATATATAATTATTAACATTTACTTACAAGTTAGGTGTGAAGTAAATATCTAATTTTTAATATTTACTTACAAGTTAGGTGTAAAGTGAATATATAATAATAATATTTACTTACAAGTTAGGTGGGAAGTGAATATATAATTATTAACATTTACTTACAAGTTAGGTGTGAAGTAAATATATAATTTTTAATATTTACTTACAAGTTAGGTGTGAAGTGAATATATAATTAATAATATTTACTTACAAGTTAGGTGGGAAGTGAATATATAATTATTAATATTTACTCACAAGTTAGGTGTAAAGTGAATATATAATTATTAACTTTTACTAACAAGTTAGGTGTGAAGTGAATATATTATTATTAACATTTACTTACAAGTTAGGTGTGAAGTGAATAAATAATTATTAACATTTACTTACAAGTTAGGTGTAAAGGGAATACATAATTATGAACTTTTACTTACAAGGTAGGTGTGAGGTGAATATATAATTATCAACATTTACTTACAAGTTAGGTGTGAAGTGAATATATAATTATTAACATTTACTTACAAGTTAGGTGTGAAGTGAATATATAATTTTTAACATTTACTTAAAAGTTATTTGTCAAGTGAATATATAATTATTACAATTTACTTACACGTTAGGTGTGAAGTGAATATATAATTATCAACATTTACTTACAAGTTAGGTGGGAAGTGAATATATAATTATTTATATTTACTCACAAGTTAGGTGTGAAGTGAATATATAATTATTAACCTTTACTTACAAGTTAGGTGTGAAATGAATATATAATTATTAATATTTACTTACAAGTTTGGTGTGAAGTGAATATATAATTATTAATATTTACTTACAAGTTAGGTGGGAAGTGAATATATAATTATTAATATTTACTCACAAGTTAGGTGTGAAGTGAATATATAATTATTAACATTTACTTACAAGTTAGGTGTGAAGTGAATATATAATTATTAACATTTACTTACAAGTTAGGTGTGAAGTGAATATATAATTATTAACATTTACTTACAAGTTAGGTGTGAAGTGAATATATAATTTTTAACTTTTACTTACAAGTTAGGTGTGAAATGAATATATAATTATTAATATTTACTTACAAGTTTGGTGTGAAGTGAATATATAATTATTAATATTTACTTACAAGTTAGGTGGGAAGTGAATATATAATTATTAATATTTACTTACAAGTTAGGTGTAAAGTGAATATATAATTATTAACATTTACTTACAAGTTAGGTGTGAAGTGAATATATAATTATTAACATTTACTTACAAGTTAGGTGTGAAGTGAATATATAATTATTAACATTTACTTACAAGTTAGGTGTGAAGTAAATATATAATTTTTAACTTTTACTTACAAGTTAGGTGTGAAATGAATATATAATTATTAATATTTACTTACAAGTTTGGTGTGAAGTGAATATATAATTATTAATATTTACTTACAAGTTAGGTGGGAAGTGAATATATAATTATTTATATTTACTCACAAGTTAGGTGTGAAGTGAATATATAATTATTAACTTTCACTTACAAGTTAGGTGTGAAATGAATATATAATTAATAATATTTACTTACAAGTTAGGTGTGAAGTGAATATATAATTTTTAACTTTTACTTACAAGTTAGGTGTGAAGTGAATATATAATTATTAATATTTACTTACAAGTTAGGTGTGAAGTAAATATATAATTATTAACATTTACTTACAAGTTAGGTGTGAACTGAATATATAATTATTAACATTTACTTACAAGTTAGGTGTGAAGTGAATATATAATTATTAACATTTACTTACACGTTAGGTGTGAAGTGAATATATAATTATTAACATTTACTTACACGTTAGGTGTGAAGTAAATATATAGTTATTAATATTTACTTACAAGTTAGGTGTGAAGTGAACCATGAGCCCCGATGAGTCGGTGAGGCCTCTTATTTTTTGCATGTTCGTCCAGTGGTACTAAAAAAAAAAAAAAAAAATCACTTTTAGAAAAAAAGGAAAACAATTTAGGGGTGTTTATGGCAAGAAGAACAACAAAGACGGACTCTTGCAAGAAGTCAAATATCCAGGTTCCTTCCCCCCCCCCCCCCCCCCCCTCACAGAAACCGGGTTCAACCATTAGACCATATTTATGGCCGGGCTATATTGCGGTCCCCCGGCAAAAGCCAGAGTAGGGCTTCAAACAACGAAACAACTGGATCCTTATAAGGACGTCAAGATTATATTTTACTGTACGAGACTGCACAAGACAAAACATGCATTAACTAAATAATAAATCCTTAGATCAGAATGAGTTATCAGCTCAAAATATTAGTGGCGTGTCCCGTTACCAGCTCAAAATATTAGTGGGATGTCCCGTTACCAGCTGAAAATATTAGTGGGATGTCCCGTTACCAGCTGAAAATATTAGTGGCGTGTCCCGCTACTAGCTCAAAATATTAGTGGCGTGTCCCGTTACCAGCTCAAAATATTAGTGGGATGTCCCGTTACCAGCTGAAAATATTAGTGGGATGTCCCGTTACCAGCTGAAAATATTAGTGGGATGTCCCGTTACCAGCTCAAAATATTAGTGGGATGTCCCGTTACCAGCTCAAAATATTAGTGGGATGTCCCGTTACCAGCTGAAAATATTAGTGGCATGTCCCGCTACCAGCTCAAAATATTAGTGGCATGTCCCGTTACCAGCTCAAAATATTAGTGGCATGTCCCGTTACCAGCTCAAAATATTAGTGGCATGTCCCGTTGCCAGCTCAAAATATTAGTGGGATGTCCCGTTACCAGCTCAAAATATTAGTGGCATGTCCCGTTGCCAGCTCAAAATATTAGTGGGATGTCCCGTTACCAGCTCAAAATATTAGTGGCGTGTCCCGTTGCCAGCTCAAAATATTAGTGGCATGTCCAGTTACCAGCTCAATATATTAGTGGCATGTGCCGTTTTCAGTTCAAGATGTTATGGTCTCTCCAAGATAGGGTGGTGGTGGGGGGAGGGGGTTTTTGCGCTCCAAGATTTGAGGAAGTATGATCAATCACCACGGAATGTACAGAAAAGTATTTTACACCCCCCCCCCCCCCCCCCCCCTAAATTTGAACCTTATCCAGGATTTTAATCTACTGACTGACTTTCTACCCCACCAGGACATCACACAAGCGATAAACACCTGATGACACAAAGTGCCACCATGTGGATGAGGATCGCCGTGGAGAGGTCCCAGAAACCGCGTTCAGACAATTGGCCATATTGATGGACTGCCTATATTGCGGCCCCTGGCAAAAGCCAGAGTGGGGCTTCAAATAACAAAAAATTACGTCCTAAGAAGGACGTATGGAATAATACATTTCAGTCTAGGACTTCCTGCGTTCTTAACTAGAAGTGCCAAGTTTAAAAAATCTATAACTTAGTAATTGATATGGCAGGCAGTCTGTTAGTAACCATGTCCTTGTTTAAAAAAAAGAATATATATATATATATATATCAAGAACTTGAATAGAGAACTATCAATGGGAAATCAAGGATGTGGTACAATTAATGACAACGGGAAAAGACTGAGCGACTTCTGCACGGCGAATAGACTTGTTATAGGAGGAACACTATTTCCTTACAAGAAAATACACAAGCTTACATGGATATCCCCAAACAGAAGAGATGTAAACCAGATCGACCATTTCATGGTAAACAGAAAATGGCGTGAGTCCCTACTCGATGTGTGTGTCAAAACGGGAGCAGATGTGGGAAGCGATCATAACCTTGTGGTCGCTCTACTACGACTTAAACTAAAAAAAAAAAATTTACACGCAAGTTGAGACACAGACAGCACGTTACAATGTTAACCTTTTAAGAGAAAAAGACATTGCCACTAAATTTATAGTAGAACTCAAGAATAGATTTCAAACCCTATCAAATGACCCAGAAACTCCAACTACAATCAGCATTCAAGACAGATGGAACCAGATCAAAGAAACATACAAATCAACTAGCAATAATATATTAGGAACCAGGAAACAACATCACAAAGAATGGATAAGTAGTCAAACCATGGACTATATTGCCAAGCGAAAAAAAAAATAAAGAGCCTCATAAATCACACTAAATCAGAACGTCAGAAAGACAAACTAATGTTAGAATATAGCGAACTTAATAAAATGACCAAGAAAAGTGCCAGAGCTGACAAGAGAAGATTTATGGAAAATCTTGCAGAAACAGCAGAAAATTTGCTAAAGCACATGATCTACAAACCCTACACAAAATTACCCAGCAAATATGCGGAAACAGAAACAATTATCACAGCATACCCATCAGAGATAACCAAGGCAGACTGCTCACCACAGAACAAAAACAAGACATGCAGTGGACTCAACACTTCTCCGACCTCTTGAACAGACCCGATCCTGAAAATCCCCCAGATATTCAACCAGCCTCACAGGACATTGACATTATCACTGAACCACCAAGCAAACAAGAATTCCTTAAAGCTATCCACACTTTAAAGAACAACAAATCACCAGGCAAAGACAAACTGCCATCAGAACTTCTCAAAGCAGATCCCAACACAACTGCTAGCATTCTAGAACCATTGTTCAAGGATATTTGGGAAAAAGAAGTGTTGCCAGATGACTGGACTGAAGGAACAATAGTCAAAATCCCAAAAAAAGGAGACTTAACAGACTGCAATAATTGGAGGGGAATTACTCTACTCTCAGTACCAAGCAAAATATTTTGTAAAATCGTCATAATGCGGCTTGAAAAAGGAGTAGATAAATGCCTACGAGTGGAACAAGCAGGATTCAGAAAGGGCAGAGGAACAACTGAGCACATCTTCGCCATACGTAACATTTTAGAACAATGCAACGAATGGCAGAGAAGTATATATACTAATTTTGTGGACTTTGAGAAAGCTTTTGACAGCGTCCATAGAGACGGTCTGTGGACAATTTTACACATTATTGAATTCCAGAAAAAATAGTCAACATAATTGCTCTCTTCTATAAAGACTTTTCCTGCAGTATAAAAAATTACAATACATCTTTCCCAGTAAAGACGGGTGTAAGACAGGGATGTGTTATGTCATCTCTCCTCTTCAACCTTGTGATTGATTGGATACTAAAGAACACAGTAGGCAGGACATCAGGAGGCATACGATGGACTCCATTCACTATGCTTGAGGACCTTGATTTTGCAGATGATTTAGCATTCCTATCACATAATCATGAACATATACAAGAGAAAAGTGACAGACTAAACTGCACAGCAGAAATGGTGGGACTGAGAATAAATACAAAGAAAACTAATATCATGACAAACAGTCCAAACCAACAACCAGTGACCATAAGTAACCAATCACTTGAAAATGTAGAACATTTCACGTATCTTGGCAGTGTGGTGTCCCTACTGGGAGGGACAGAGGAAGACATAAAGTCACGTCTGAACAAAGCTAGAGCTGCTTTTGGAAGGATGAGGCAAATCTGGAAATCCAACAATTACTGCAGAGGAACGAAACTCTACAAGAGCATCATTTTGCCAGTTCTTCTATATGGAGCGGAATGCTGGAGAATGACCAAAAAGGATGCACACAAGCTGTCCACCTTCCACCACACATGTCTACGAAGAATTATCAAAATTTTCTGGCCAGATACAATCTCAAACACTAAACTACTTAAAGCCACAAACCAAGAAACTTTAGACAGTATGATTACCAAGAGAAGATAGAAATGGCTTGGCCACGTTATGAGAATGACTTCTGATATACCTGCCAAAACAGGTCTCACATGCACACCAGAGGAAAAGAGAAAACAGGGGCGCCCAAAAACAACATGGAGACGAACGATGGAAAGTGACCTGAGTGCGGCATCTTTGACATGGAAAACCGCACTGAAGATTGCACAGGACAGGAAAGCATGGAAAGTCCTCTCTGAAGCCTCATGTGCCACTAGGGCATAACGAGAACTGATGATATGATGATGATATATATATATATATATAATATATATATATATATATATATATATATATATATATATATATATATATATATATATATATTAGACATAAAATCTCTTCTTCTTAGAGTCAAAGCCGTGTGGCGTTGGTAGTCATGTCTATCCACATCCTTCTGTCTCGTGGTCTTCCAGTCAACTCTGACACAGATGAGCCTCCATGTCGGGTGGCGTTGGTAGTCATGTCTATCCACAACCTTCTGTCTCGTGTATTTCAATCAATTCTAACACAGATGATCTTCCATGCCATGATGTCAAACTGTCCAGCATCTGTTCTCTCGGTCTCCCTTTGCCTCTCCTCCTCTCCAACTTCCTTACCGTCACGATGTTCTCCAGCTTTCTCCTTCTCATCACATTACCAAAGATTGTTGACTGTCTCTCTCTGATGTGTGCAGTCAGTTCTTTTCGTGAGCCAGTTTCATTCAAAACGTCTTCATTAGTCTTTTTATCTATCTACGGTATTTTCATCATTTGTCCATAAAACCACATCTCCGCAACTTCTCAAAAAAGTGTTCACTAATTTGCTAACTGTCTATGATTCACAACCGTATATCAATAAAGGATTTATATAGCTTTTAAAAATTCTCTTTCTCGTCTCAAATGACAGAGAATCATCAATCTATAATATCAAGGGTCATCAATATATATATATATATATATATATATATATATATATATATATATATATATATATATATATATATATATATATATATATATATATATATATATACACACACACATAATCTTCATGTTGCCCTGTTTGCGGTATATGAAAAAAAAACTGACATCAGTTCAAAGCAAACAGTCAGCTTACAGTCAACTAAATGACTGGGACTTTTCAGTACTTTCGCAGGCGTTTATTTTCGTACTATATTGGATAGGCTGTCGATACAATCTCTACGCATTTTTGTACATGTGAAATGATTTTTCAAATAATCTTCAAGTGTGTGACGGTTACTACGTTTTCTATTTTTGTGGTTGCACAAATTATTATTAAAAAAAGATTTAGAAAAAAAATTAAAAAAAAAAAAAGACATAAAACCAAACGAAAAGTATACCACCAAGCTTCATGAAATAATGAACACAAACAAAACGTTAACGTTGCAGCTGTGGAGCCTTCATCAGCACATATATAAATCAAACAATACCACACAGACAAAGGTCAAAGAAATTCACCTTTTTAAGAAAACAGCAGCACCTGTACAATTGCAAAGTTTAAAATCATAGGAACATGACAAATCTATGACCAGGTGTAAAAGTTCCAGCTGATCCGTACAGTAGTTATCGAAATATTTTTTGGAACGCACTGTAACACAACAAACCCACCTGGATAACCATAAACTGTACGCCAGTCTCCCCGATCCTAACGCCACTGTCAGGATAGTAACACTCCCCGTCCAGTCCCACGGTCCACACGTGCAGGAACTCCTGGCAGCTTGGGTTGGGCACGATCTGACACATGTAGGGGTCAAAGTTAGGCTCCATGTAGCCTGGGTTCCGTCATATATATATGGACGATACAAGAATCAGTGTTGTTGTTAATTACATAATCAGACAACTCATTAGGTTAGTTCCACGTTAGTTTCCCCAAAAAGTGAATGTCACCTTTTATTCACAAGTTTGTTGGGCTAGTCGACTTTCTTGAAGATTACGGGTGTGTCCCCCTCTGTTGTTTGGTTTCTGGGATGTCTTGCATTCACGTTTTCATTCAGAGAAAGAGATTGCTTGGGACATAGGTTGCAGCAGTCTCTAGGGGGTTGTGTTAGACCCAGTTTCTCTATGTTTTTGGAGTGTTACAAGCGCAGGCGTGCTGAAATATACAACATGCGATATCAGCGGCATTGGGGAACAGCTCCCGTAACCGTGTGAGAAGGTGTCGGGACTCAGGAAGTACCATTTGGAAGTGAGCTAGTGTGTATATGGGCGGGTTCTGGGGAGCCTAACGTCGAACTAACCACTTACTGCGATATCTTCATTAGGTAAAAGGAACGTTAGTCTCCCCCAGACCTAGCTCACCGTACTATACGGTGTAATTTTTTTTTTCAATACTATACTGTGTAGTCTTTTCCTTTAGTACTATACGGTGATTTCTTCTTATTACGTACTATACGGTGTTTTCTTATTATTACATACTATACGGTGTATTCTTTTTATTCAGTACTAAAGGGTGCAATCTTTTCTATCATCAATGGTGTAATTACACCCAATAGGTCTGCCTTTATCGGGGAAGGGAGGGGGGGGGGATGGGTCTCGAGGCATAGCGTCCGCCTCGAGTGCTGGAGGTCCCAGGTTCAGGCCACAGTGCAGGCTTGGATTTTTTTATGTGGACTTATTAATTTTCTCTGGTGTCTGGGTAGTAAGATCGCACGTTAAAAAATTCTTTGGCAGTTTGAAATCAAAAAGAGTAGCCTAACAGCGCTGCCCGGGCAAGATTGTGAGTTTAAAATCTACCCAAAGTATTCAAGGATCCTCGCCGCTGCTATGGAGTTCGTTCACTGTGCTGAGATTCTTCGGATTCATGCTTTAGTTACAAGTAGAACGGAGCACTTATGCGTCAGTACCCGTGTGCCATAATGTTGATCATCGTTTAAACCTAAAGCTAAGATCTGTCTCTCTCACCAATGTTTCGTTTTCTCGATTCATTTATTTCCCATTTCAGTGTCTGCGTTGCGTTTCTCTGTCCTCTTCATATCTGGATGTGCCTAGATAGATAGTTATTTGGCAGATTTTTCTCTGTCCTCTTCATATCTGGGTATGGCTAGGTAGATAGTTATTTGGCAGATTGCTGGCAGATTCTAACCTATGCCAGCGAAGACTGGAGAACGACCAAAACTATGGAACAAAAGTTACATGCACTTGAAAATAAATGTCTGAAAAAAACCATGAACATAAATCGGGATGAACTCAAAAAAAAAAAAAAAAATGTGGAAATCAGAGAAATGTGTCGACAAATATCTGCATCGACTGCAATAAGACAAAGAAGGCTGAGATATACTGGGCATACTCTGTTACGAAATTAGCAAAGAATTATAAAGCAGGCACTGAACTGAGAAACAAATGATCTGACAACAAGAGGACGTTCAAGGGAAACATTATTAAGAACATTTTTAAAACAGAAAAAAAGCTGGGTTGAACTCTTTGTCAGAAAAGGAGAAAGCTGTGTACAATAGAGCGGAGTGGAGGAATCGATCGCGAGTTTTATGTTACGTTTAACGGCCAACAACGGGTGATGATGATGATAAAACAGTTGTATACGTATCATAGTTGTAATAACTCTCATAAATTTATAAAACAGGTAGGCTGTTTAGAACATGTTGTTAATGATCTCAGATTGTATAGAGGCACGATCCCCCACGCAAGTTGATAATGTAGTACAGATAGCGGAAGAATACTTTCACTCACCTTTACAGCCAAAGAGGGCCATGTGATGAACCACTTGCTTGTTGTCAAGGACAGGAGTCAGGGCGACCGCGTGGAAGTCTCTGCCCTTGGGAACACCGTGGTTGTAGATGTTGAAGTTGATGCAGATGTAAGATGTGGTGTCTGTGGGGACAGCCGTCCTCGGGGGTAGCCTCAGCGTGATGTTCATGATGTCTGTGGGCACAGGGAGCAATGTGGTTCAGGTATTAATTCAAACATAAAAAAAAAAATCATTTTAAACCTTAATTCAAAAATTCTGAGCCTAAAATATCTCACCGTACAGACGGGGATCCATAGCATACTCGAGCTCATCAATTATTATAACAAATTCATTTGTAACATTATCCAGGAAACAGCAGCCTTCACTAAATTGTTGGAAAAGGACCCTTTTAACACGACAGAGTGGATCCCTGAACTTGACCAGGCTTTCGCCAGGATCTAAACCCCTTCCTTCAGTCCCCCATTTCAAAACTGCCTAATTTTAAATTACCTTTCATTCTCAGGTGTGATGCCAGTGGTGCGGCAGTTGTAGGCTGTTTAATACAACTTGAAGAAGACAAGCTGCATCTGATAGGTTACGTTAGCAGAAAGCTTACCCCAGCAGAGGAAATGCACTCAGCATCGGAACAGGAATGTTTGGCGACGATTTTCTGCATATCGAAGCTAAAAGGTTTTCTGCTTGGCAGAGTGTCCCTGCTGCAGACTTACAGCAAACCTCTTCTTGTGATAAATTCACGAGTGTCGAAAACAGTCGTATCCCCCATAGGCATTTCTTATGCAGAACTACAAATTTGAAATTACCCGTATAATAGGATCAATAAACTATTTAGCAGATTTCTTAAGTAGACTATGATGATTTAACATCAGCCGACAATGTTGTGTTGTCAGAGATTAAACCAGACTTCATTACATTTGAAATAAACCGAAGTAATCATTTTTTTTGTCCAAGAATATCTTTGACAAAAAAGATGAGAAATATTGACATCTTTAAGGATCTGAACTTAAAGGAAGATTGGCTAATAAACAGCATCCTTCCTCGAAAGCTGAAATATTTTGGTCATATCAAGCGCCACGACGGATTGGAATTTTTTTAAGCAGAAAGCATGGTACCAGGAAGGAGGGGCAGGGATCGACCAACACGAAGATGGGCACAGGATATAAGTGACTCCTTGAGTGTGAAAGTGCATGAGGTGGGAGAACTGGCGAGAGACCGAGTTTCTTTTAGGCAGACTGTGATGAGAGCGCCGTTCTGCAAAGGACCTGCTACATGATGATGAATCAAGTTTTACTGCTATTCACTCACTCTGCCCTCTACTCGGCAGACGCTTCGCCATCCGGGTGTACACCTCTGCATTGATGTAGGTACACTCTATCGCTCATGTCTGTACACTCTATAACAAATGTAGGTTAACTTTCTTACAAATGTCTGTACACTCTATCACTGACGCCTGCATATAAAAAAGACATATGTAAAAGGATGTGCATGCTAAACGAGCAACAGTATGCACCTAATGCATGTGTATGCTTGTAGCTTTGCTTAGACCTTAGTCTGTGACACTTTTGTCTTCTTTCCCAAGGGACAGCCAAAGACATTCAATGTTTTTCGTTGGCACATGAAAGCAGCAACCGTAGGGTGACCTGTTTGCTATGAAATTAGAACTGCGATTGTCTGATTAACGGATCATTCTTACCTTTGTCCTCGAGGGCGGGACAGACGAGTCCGTCGCTTTGGCACACGTCTTCCATCCACTCGCCTTGGGTTTTGTACTTGTCGCTGAAGCTAGAGATGTCCATGTTCTTGCATCTTGGGGTGTCCCAGGGGTCGCAGATCCCTGGCGAGGAGGCACCTCTGTGTTACACTCGTCTGTGTCAGCAGTGTTGGTTAGTTAACTGTCATCGTCTTCATTCTCATCGTCGTCATTTTCGTCATCATCATTATTACAATCATCATCATCACCACCACCATCACTATCGTCATCAGCACTATCATCATCAGCACTTTTATCACCATCATCATCACCACCACTATCACTATGGTCATCAGCACTTTTATCACCATCATCACCATGACCATCATCAGCATTGTCTCATCACCAGCGTTATCATTGATGTACATACTACAAGATGTTAACATCATTAAGACTGGCTCGGGCACAGCATCCTGTCTCGGAAAACTTGAATATTTTGACCAAATCAAGCGCCACGGCAGATGGCAAAGAATAGTAGCAGAAGGTGTGGGGATAAGAAAGAGGGGCAGAGGTCGACCAGCAAGAAGATGGGTCTAGCATATAAGTGATACCTTGGGTAGAAACGTGCTCAAGGCGGGAGATCTATCGAGATGGGGCGTCTTTCAGGCAAGCGTTGATGAGAGCGACATTCTGCAAAATATCTATTGTCTTAATAAATCACCGGCGTGCAGCGAAGAATGAACTGGGGATCTGGCGGACTCTCAACATTCAATTGGGTGAGGGTGGGGTGTGGTTGGGGTAAGGGTGGGAGTGTGGTTGGGGTGAGGGTGGGGTGTGGTTGGGGTGAGGATGGGGTGTGGTTGGGAGTGGGCCGGGTGATGGTGGGGTGTGGTTGGGCTGAGGGTGGGGTGTTGTTCGGGTGAGGGTGGGGTGTAATTGGGGTGAGGGTGGCGTGTGGTGTGGTTGGGGTGTGGTGTGGTTGGGGTGAGAGTGGTGTATGGTTAGGGTTAAGGTGGGGTGTGGTTGGGGAAATACAGTCAGAATGTTTCTGTAGCATCCGAATTAGAACTTTTCACCTGCTGCTGAAGATGGGGACAGAGCTTTTAAGGGAATATCCCGAGTGCTATGGTGTCGGCTCTCAGCTCATAGTTCTGTCGTAGAACGTGAGTATCATAGAAGGCAGGGACAAGCAGAAGCCAGACAGCGTCGGATTTCTGTATAAGCTAAGAACGCTACAACTTGGGGCAACACGGTCCACAAGAGCCTCACGGTCCGCAAGAGTCTCACGGTCCGCAAGAGCCTCACGGTCCGCAAGAGCCTCACGGTCCGCAAGAGCCTCACGGTCCGCAAGAGCCTCACGGTCCGCAAGAGCCTTACGTTCCACAAGAGCCTCACGGTCCGCAAGAGCCTTACGTTCCACAAGAGCCTCACGGTCCGCAAGAGTCTCACGGTCCGCAAGAGCCTCACGGTCCGCAAGAGCCCCACGGTCCGCAAGAGCCTCACGGTCCGCAAGAGCCTTACGTTCCACAAGAGCCTCACGGTCCGCAAGAGCCTCACGGTCCGCAAGAGCCTCACGTTCTGCAAGGGCCACCTAAAAACAAATCCTCTTTTGTGTGTGTGTGTGTGTGCTTAAATCCTATTATCTTGTAATATATTGCAAATGCCATTTTCTTGTAATATATTGCAAATGCAAGTGTTTTGAAATATATTGTAAATGCCGTTGTCTTGTGATATATCGTAAATGCCATTTTCTTGTATTATTTCAAACGAAATTTTCATGTAATATGTTGCAAATGCCATGTTCCTGTAATATATGGCAAACGCCATTCTTTGCAATGTATTGTACATGCCATTTTCTTGCAATATATTGTAAATGCCATTTTCCTGTAATATATTGTAAATGCCATTTTCATGTAATATATTGTAAATGCCATTTTCATGTAATATATTGTAAATGCCATTTTCCTGTAATATATTGTAAATGCCATTTTCTTGTGATATATTATAAATGCCATTTTCTTGAAATATATTATAAATGGCATTTTCTTGTAATATATTTGTTATTACATTTCCCCGAAAAATAGATATGCTAGTTGTAACTAATGCACGTGGAGAAAATACTCTCTGTGATATTCCAAACACATTCCTTATTTATAATAAATAAAACGACTGTATATTTGCACTATCTTTGTTTTTAAGACATAAATATGCTGAATAACTTTTCTTAAAGTAACTGGTGAAATTTAAAACGGAAGGGACCTCATAGCTACATAACTTAGGGCCTTTGTAGAATAAAACCAGTACTGGAACTACCGTACGTCTTTAATGGTAAGAATACATGGGTACCAGGCCTGAGGTGTGAGGGAACTGGACTCAAACCTGGGTAATACCTGGGTGTGATAGGCCGTCTTTCTCTGCTACCGGCGTGTCTTCTGTCCATTCGCACTTTGGGTCACCCAGTTCAAGTCCGTTGTAAAAGCCGTCGCCGTCAGAATCTTCGAGGCAGAACTCCTTGGTCCAAATCTGCAGACAGAGCATGAGAGCTGACTTTGTCGTCACGGTTAAGTTTAATGTGGCAGTCAAGTTTATTGTTAGAGTCAAGTTTTTTTTGTCACACTCAAGTTTATTGTCGCGGTCAGTTTTATTATTACAGCCATGTTTATGGTCACAGTCAAGTTTACTGTCACAGACGAGTTATTGTCACAGTCTAAGTTTAGTGTCACAGTCAGGTTCATTGTCACAGCCAAGTTTACTGTCACAGCCAAGTTTACTGTCACAGTCAAGGTTATTGTCACAGTCAGGTTTAGTGTAACTGTCAGGTTTACTGTCACAGTTAGGTCTCTTGTCACAGTGAAGTTCATATCATTGTCACAGTCAAGTTTATTGTTTCCGTCGAGTTGGTGTCACATTCACATTTACTATCTCTATCAGATTTGTTTGGTCCGGGGTCAGGTTTATGGTCGCGCTAATTGTCAGTCAGGATTATTGTCACGATTAAATTTATTGGAACAGTCACGTTAACTGCTACATGTAGCTCCTTGACTTGTAGGATGAGGAGTCAATAAGAGGGGTTGACAGGTACCAAACATGACATCTGACATTGATGGATGTATGCTGTGAGAGAGGAAGATATGGAGTAGCTAAAAACATGCCAGATCGCTGACACTTCCAGTGGAAAAGAGACAACGAGGGACGCTGGTCAAACAACGCTCTTCGAGATACAGACGAGAGGGGCAGTTAACTCTCTGGTAGATACAGCAAGACGACAGGGGCAGTTAACTCTCTGGTAGATACAGCAAGACGACAGGGGCAGTTAACTCTCTGGTAGATACAGCAAGACGACTGACCATAGCATCGAGGTATGCCAGGAACCTTTGGGATTAGGCATGAACAGGTGCTACGAACAGGGAGGCAAACAGAAACCGCTGAGAGATAGCCCAGGTTACGGGTACACAAGGGGGAATAGACGTGGGGATCAAGGATGATAAGAGATAGGTAAGGGTGACAAGCAAGATAACTGACAAGAGGTTGGAGGAAACTAAGAAACAGAGGGCAACAGGCGTCAAGAATGATAAACTACCATGCTTTGAAAAGAACATACTGAACTGTGGCTTGTGGAGACAGAGTTAACTAGATGGCGGAGAGTTAACTTAGGAAGAAGAGAGATATCTCTAGAGTGAGCTAGAAGAGACTTTAGAGACAGTCAATAACAGTGAATAACCTATTAACATGTACGTTAAGTTTCAATATGCCACCAGATCAGTAAATCGCTTATAGCGACCTGCAATCAAACTATTTACGAGCGAGGATACACGCTGATATATCTACCCACACATTTTAACTACTAGAGACAAATTCAAATATAATTATGGAAATATACCACCGCCATGAAATCAGTCAGGCAACCAGCCATCCCCCGCAATCGCCCTCACTCACGCTGTTTAGCCCAATGTGCAGAGCCACAACAGCTGGGTGGGTCTCCTGAGCGACCGCGGGTTCAGTCTAGAAGCCAAAATGAGACCGGTTTTTGGTGTGTTGGCTTTTTTATACACAGTGGCCAGGTTTCTACGCATTTGCAAATCAACTAAATCAAGGTATTCGTCGTCGCACGCTTACAGTACTTTAGGAAAGACTTTAGAGACAGTCAATAGCAGTGAATAACCTGTTAAGCAGTGAAGCCAATAACATAGCAACCTATACTGAAACATTCGTATTATTGTTAATGAATAATTGTAGCCAGAGTCAAATGGACATTGTGTTTTGTAAAAGCAACTTAACTTCAATTAATGTGTTGATTGATCACTATCTGTGTTGTTAAACACAAGAGACATACGAAGACTTCGTTCCGTTAAGGCTCTGATTGAGCTTGGGAGATGTGAAAGATATAATTGTACTACAGACTGAAGGTTGCAATCAGACTAATGGAGCTTACATTATTGTTATGAATTTAAATATTATCATAGAGCAGAGAAGTCAAAAATGTTGTTCTATCCACATCTTTATGTTTTCTGGTCAATGGTTGTGGCATGTTGCTATAATCTAAGATCTAGTCTCGGGTAATAAGTGTGATACTTTAAGATGTAATTCTTGTGTAATAATCATTATACTCTAAAAGCAACTCAAACCTAACAACCCATTTCGTGCCAACGACTTCCGGTGGGGGGGGGGCGCTTTGGGGAGGATACTAGCCTTATCCAAGGAAGAGGAAATGCAACCTGAAAACTCTTTGTTATGGCAGAGCACACCAGACCCTTAGCCTTGGCTGGCAGCTGGTGTAGGAAGGAAGCTCCGACAGGCAGACAGATAGAGAAGTGCTCGTCTGATCTAGCAGTTTAAGCAGCCTGATTTTCTTCCAACTTTACTGGTGTTACCTTTCCTTTGGAATAAACGAGGATGACAGCTGGTCTAGGAGAGAAGCTAACAGGCGGACAGATAGAGCACTGAGCTTCTGACCCTGCTGTTTCAACAGCCTGCTCTGTACCAAACGTACTGCTGTTACTTTACTTTTGAAGTAAACAAGGCAGGTCGAGCGAGGGATCTTGCTGCAAGGGCAACATATGGTCTCTACAATACTGCCTAGGCTTTGTGCTATGGAGAGGACGAACTTCATCCCTGGCCGTAGTTAGGACAAAATACCAATGTTCACAACAAAGGTTCTAAACTACCATGCTAAAATTGTGGAAGAGTTTTCTTAACGCGGGCAGGTCTTCATCTCACTACCCAGAGACCAGGAGAAATTACTAGTCCACGTGAAAAAAGAAATCTTGAACCCGAGACCTCCAGCACTCGAAGCAGACGCCATGCCTCGAGACCACGCAGCCCCCGGAGAAAATTCAGTAGCATACTGTCACGAGACGATCTCAGTGATTCCAGAAGTTAGTACTTGTAATAAGTTCTTCTGGTTCTAAAGAGACAGAATTATATTTACTCTGCGCTTTATCCTAATATTGCTTTAAACCGCACGGATTTAAATTGCTACCAGTCCTTCTTCGAGACAAGCCACTGCGCTTTGTTTAAAATTACCCAACACTACGTAATATAGCCCGCTGGTTCAGACTAGGGATGTTAGATTGCATTCTCACGCCAGTGTCAGAATGTTATCTCCTGACCAGACTGTAGAGACTGAGGGGGGGGGGGGGCCTTTTGACCAGGTAAATTGAGTGGACGCTAGACATTGTGGAGCCCAGAGGTCAGAGTTTCACACGTCAGTGTAATTCGGGGGAGAACAGTTGTGTGGCAATTAGGACTGTTTGATCTGGGTCAAGTAGGAAACACAATGGCTTCACTGAACGTCTTTTAACACCTGCCAGTTAGATTCGTTGTAAACTAGATTGGGTCACTTAAGAATGTTTGCTCTAGGGATGTCAGTCCAGAATTGAGTGACAGGTCACTGGTTAGCCAAGTGATCTGATAGTTACCTCAGGGGCGGTGCTTAAGCCATCATCTTGAGGGTTGGGTAAAAACTAAGGAAAGGGAGGAGTTTAATTTGGACAATAGATTGATACTTATACTTCGACCCTGTGGAATTTCCGTCATTAATCGCAGCCTGCCGCAAACAACACAGATCGACCTAAAAGGTAAATTTTACGGTCGCATTCTGTTTTGGCGATTAATGGAAAGTTCCCAGGTAAGAGAAAATATTAATTTTAATCTTGTATACTTAGGTTAGGGAGTTAAGCTTTTAGTCTATACTACCTTTTCCTAATTTGTCTGCACATTCTGCTTGAAATAGTTCTTTGTGAATGTTCAGTATCTCAGTTAGGGAACTGCTAAACTATTCCTATTTCTTGTATGTTTGTGTCACATGTTTTTCATTGTATGTTTTCATGTGTATAAAATAAGATGTGAACAATGACGCTTGCTATAATGAAATGTAATTATATTGTTTTCACGATCAGCCAAAATATGAGTTTGGACTGTGGGAAATGATGCCCAAATATGTGCAGGGATGTTGCTACGTTTTGTGTGCCCACCATGTGCTCACTTAATGTGTTCACCTGAACAGGGGATTTATAACCTCAGGGGAAGAATGATGGGTGTATAGAATTCACTGTCACTGAAAGATAATATTCAGGACAGCGTGCACATATAAATTGTTTGCGTTTTCAGCACATAACCTGCGCCACATGTGTATGTCAAATCTATGTCAGCCAGTTGTTGGAAGTCTGAGTGATGACGGACAACAGACTTAGAAAGTCAACTATCATGACATAGCATTGGAGGGAAGGCAGGATATGTGACGCCCATGTAAGACAAAAGACCTTCAGACTAGACTGGAGAGGATGTGGAATATGAGGAGGAGTGATGGGATATATTTTATTATTATATGTTGTATTAATTAATACATGTATTCTTAGTGTAAGTCAAGATACTACACGTATGTGTTTTGTTTCCATGATTACAGCGCCCATGTGACGATCAGTCCATGAAAGAGACTACATTGTGTTAGACTCGGCCAGCTGGGAACGAGGTGGAGGACGAGGTGGAGGACGAGGTGGAGAACGAGGTGGAGAACGAGGTGGGGATGAAGTGGAGAATAAGCTGAAACAGGCAGACAACAGGCAAGGAAGAGTTGGACAAGCTTGACAGTTCCTCACGGCTGTCAGAGGCTTATAAGTTGAGTTAACCCCTTTATGTTAACCTATTATCATCATTATCATACCACTCTAACCCCCGAGCTGTTTTTCTCGCTGAAGCTTACCACCATCATCAAGTTAACCAGTCATTGTTTGTGTAAATCAACAAACTGGGAATTTCATTGTAGTAAATAAAGCTGTATGTCAAGTTTTAAACTACATAGTTTGTTAAATTCCAAATGTCTGTTCTTACATGTTTAATTAAACTGTTAAGATAGAATACCATTTGGTGGGGGCTCAAATAAGATAATAATTCTTTAATTATTAATAATAACACCGGGAGAAGGTAGATGACGAAGGAATCACTTGCCCTGTCTAATAATTCATTTAGTATGATAGACATCTAAAATTCCTTGCCTTCTCTTGTGGGTACCAAGTTCAGCTAATGTTAATATACTTAACGAGCCAATATGGCTGTTTTCTTGGATATCCAGGACTTTGTCTGAGAGCAACATAGCTCAGATTTTAGTTCGGTGTATCTAGTGGAGAGAATGTGTTGAAAGGAAGATCCCTACTCAACAACATAAACATTTAAACCACGCGTCACGTCACACATACACACATTAAATACACAAGGCAGCTGTCAGTAGTGCCATCACAAACAGTGCGATGCTGCAAGTGCAGTTCATCGTCGACGTATGCAGTAGTTACAACAGATCCTTAGCTGCACAAGCAGATAATCACATAAGGCACCACACATTCTTTGACAACAGGCCACTGGCTATTTTATCTGATGTTCAGAGCACAAACCACTTTCAGCACAGTCGAGAAACATTCCAAATAAAATTCACAGCTAACAGTGTCGCGTCAAGCACTCTTCGACGCTATATCCTTTCCATCGACACACGCAATAATAAGCAACATCTAATTATTGGCAGAAGCGAAAATAAGCCAAGATTTAAAAAAAAAAAAAAAAAAAAAAAACAGAAACTGCCTATTCGCCATATTGACCGGAAACGGTTAGTGACGAATGCAGAAGAAAAAGCAGAAAGAAAGCACACACAGAAAACTCACGGATTCAAGTTCCTCGAAACGAAGACCGAAAGGATTCCTAGGTCCTGTCCCTTCATCATTGAAATGTCCCAACCCGGGCCAGATTTTTCCCGGCTTGCAGGGAAAAGGGATATTGTCTCCGTTAGGGATTCTCTTTTGGTAGTGCATGAATGGCCTCACCATTGGCAGCAGCAAGGCCAGCACAAGAGTTCTACCCAAACAAAACAAAAAAAAAGAAAGAAGACATGGATTAAAATCACTTGCCGGAATCTCGTTGGTAAAAAATGGTTAGACGTAAGCGTGCCAGCCAGAAGGTATGGGTTTGAATCCGTATAATTAGGAATTTTATCGTAAAACGACCTTGGTTCGCAGTTCGACCCAGCCTTAAGTGGGTACCGGGTGAAGTCCCGGTAAGTAAAGGCGGCCGTTGTAATGCTGACCACATCACCCATCTTGTGCCGATTGGTCTATAAAATATAGGTCTAGCCCTGTATGCCCTATAGCCTAAAGGCGTGAAAAAGGGTCCTTTTATTTACTTCCCTACCATGTAAAGTGCAGAGAAATGAAGGATGTCCCAAATGAGGCTTACCACATGATCAATTGAGTGCCGACTGGCCTACAGAAAAGATATATAGCGGCCAATATTGCCTCATTACATATTGTTCCCACAAACAGAGAGTGGGTCTCTGCAGCCAATATTGCCTCAATACATAATGTTCCCACAAACAAAGAGTGGGTGTCTGCAGCCAATATTGCCTCATTACATAATGTTCCCACAATCAGAGAGTGGGTCTCTGCAGCCAATATTGCCTCATTACATATTGTTCCCACAAACAGAGAGTTAGTCTCTGCAGCCAATATTGCCTCATTGCATAATGTTCATACAAACAGAGAGTTGGTCTCTGCAGCCAATATTGCCTCATTACATATTGTTCCCACAAACAGAGAGTGTGTCTCTGCAGCCAATATTGCCTCAGTACATAATGTTCCCACAAACAGAGAGTGGGTCTCTGCAGCCAATATTGCCTCATTACATAATGTTCCTACAAACAGAGAGTGGGTTTCTGCAGCCAATATTGCCTCATTACATAATGTTCCCTCAAACAGAGAGTGGGTCTCTGCAGCCAATATTGCCTCATTACATAATGCTCCCACAAACAGAGAGTGGGTCTCTACAGCCAATATTGCCTCATTACATAATGTTCCCACAAACAGAGAGTGGGTCTCTGCAGCCAATCTTGCCTCATTACATAATGTTCCCACAAACAGAGAGTTGGTCCCTTCAGCCAATCTTGCCTCATTACATAATGTTCCCACAAACAGAGAGTGGGTTTCTGCAGCCAATATTGCCTCATTACATAATGTTCCCACAAACAGAGAGTGGGTCTCTGCAGCCAATATTGCCTCATTACATAATGTTCCCTCAAACAGAGAGTGGGTCTCTGCAGCCAATCTTGCCTCAGTACATAATGTTCCCACAAACAGAGAGTGGGTCTCTGCAGCCAATATTGCCTCATTACATAATGTTCCCACAAACAGAGAGTGGGTCTCTGCAGCCAATATTGCCTCATTACATAATGTTCCCACAAACAGAGAGTGGGTCTCTGCAGCCAATCTTGCCTCATTACATATTGTTCCCACAAACAGAGAGTGGGTCTCTGCAGCCAATCTTGCCTCATTACATAATGTTCCCACAAACAGAGAGTTGGTCCCTTCAGCCAATCTTGCCTCATTACATATTGTTCCTACAAACAGAGAGTGTGTCACTGCAGCCAATCGTGCCTTATTACGTAATTTTCCCACAAACAGAGAGTGGCTCATTGCCAATCATCCTAATGAAAACGGTGCAATTATTGTGTTTGTTTAAAACAGTCGCGAAACACACTATGACATATGACAGATTTGTTGTTGTTTGTGTGTGTTTTTTAAGTAATTTTAACATGGTTTTCGAATTATCAGTTATATAAGTAAAATATTTAGACATAATTTCTAAACTTAGTGTGTGAAAAAGCTTTGACAAATCAAATCGGCCACTCAAAAAGAATATGTTTTATGTTTAAACTCGGACAATTCACTTGACAATTCTCGGGACTTCAGCACTTCATAGGTTACGAGAGGTAAATTAAAGGTGATCACGTGTTGTTGTACGACGTTCTCTGTCCCCCGAATCATCTTGTAGACGTCAGATAACAAACAAGTTTCCCAATTATGTCACTGGAAAGCCATTATTTCCCCCCGCAGACTCGCTGAAGGGTTTCTGTCTTGAATGCTGATATTGTCTACCTGCCATAGGCCCTGTGTTGATCTTGGTGTTCTTGTGCCAAACTTCTTGTTGATTTCGTTTGTGTGTAAAACTTAAACAGGAGAGAATATTGAATTATCCCCGGTGTTGTCTCAGGTAACTGTGTGGTTCATGGAGGACAACATTTCGCGAGGATCTTCAGGGGCATCTCACTTGTGCCAGCGTCTTCGGGGAGAGAAGATCCTGTGACGAGGATGTTATGTTATCACAGTCAACGTCATTTCATTTCATAAGAACTGGGAAGCTTCATGCAGAGTGGCAAGCTTCACTTAGGGAGGTCACGAGTAGTGAGCATACTTTGGATAGTTTCTCCATGAGGGTGTATCGGGTAATTAACAGGCAGACATACTGGCTGGATCTGCACCACTGAGTGGTAAACTGATACATGACAAGGCAGATGTGGTCAATGCCCTTTGGGAACAAGCAATGGAATCAGTAGAGAAAGAAGATTATTATGGCCTGGAGAGAATGAGGTACCTGGGTGTAACCAGAGGATCTGGCCGGCTCACTACACTCAGAGGAAAGGCAAGACAGACATATAAGCAGATTGTGACCAGTACCATCAGTATTGATACTCTGCGCTGGCTGCTGAAGATGAGGACGGAGCACACATGGTAATGCTCCGCGTGATGTAATGTCAATTCTTGACTCAACTCAACTCAACACAATCAACATCAATGCTCACTGGACATTCTCAATTGATTATAATTTCTTCTATCTCGACTCAGAGGCGATTCATTATGTTTTACTACACCAGGTCACGCAATATGGTTAGTGTCAGAGGTTCGTCATTATCCATTAGCCCAGTCAGTAAAGCGTTGATGATATCTGCTGCGTCCATGAATCTCTCTGCGCATGCGTTGGCGCACTGCTTGCCAGCTGGTCCGCTCCACGATAGAAACTAAACATGTGTGACAGAAACACTTCAAGTTAGTCTCCCCAAACAAAGTAGGTCATGTTTCACTCACAAGTTTGTTGGGTTGGTCTACTTTTTTGCAGGTTACGGGTATGTCCCACTCTGTTATTTGCTTTCTGAGTTGTCTTGCATTTACGTTTTTATTCCGAGAAAGAGAATGTTTGTGACATGGGTTGCAACACTCTCTGGGGAGGGGGAGCGGGTTTCTCAGTTTCTCCATGTTTTGGGAGTTTTAAAAGCCTTGGCGTGCAAAAACATACAAAACGCGTTAGCAACGTAATTGCGGAACACACCCCGTAACCTTGTTGCAAGGTGACTTGGCTCAAGCTCTACCAATCAGAAGGGAGCTAGTGTGTGTATGGGTGGATTCTGGGGAGCGAAACTTTATTTTTACCAAGCTGTGATATATGGCTGAGCTGTTTGGTTTGTAGGGGAGTGGAGATGAGTTAATATATATTAAAGGTGGTGATAGGAAAGCGACGAATGTGAGAGAAACTAAACAAAGCTAGGGAAAAAAAAACTTCAGCAAATTATAAATAAAACAAGAAACTGCTAAAGTAAACTAGACATCAGGAAGTTAAACTAAATACAATAAAATTAAACTTGATACTAATTAAATAAATTAGATACGAAAAGCTATACGTCCCTACGTTAAACTGGACAGGTTTACGATAAACTGCGCACATTTAGGTTAACTAGGCAAAAACTACAATAAATTAGACATCGAAACTATTAACTGGATGTCAGTACGATACACTAGACATCACTATGATAAACTGGACCCAATCACTATAATATAAATTTGACGCTATGACGATAAACTAGACAGAATTACGAGAATCTGAACACTATAGCTATAAACTAGACATCACTACTTTAAAAACGCATACTGTGACTCACACTATAAACATTACGACATGCTAGGTACAAAACCGATAGACTAAACATTTTTGCGATAAACTAGACACAATAACAATAAGCTCTACATTATGAAGATAAACTAGACATAGAAGGATAAACTAAACATAAGAACGATTTAACTAGACAGAAGAGAACAATAAACTAGACCCAAAAACTATAATTAACGACAGTGAAAATAACAATTGCAGCAATTATCTTAAGCTAGATAAGTCTGTGATATACTAGATACACTGACGATAAACAAGACACAATAAACTAGACACACCTGCAATAAAATGAATACATTTTTCACAATCTAAACACAGCTTATATGAACTAGACTCTACTAACGTTAACAATACACAGCTGCCAAAAACTATACACAATCATCACAACAAACTAGACATTTACCAAAATGGCGTTTTTGGCTTAGTTGTTGCGAACGTGCTTCGTAATAACCGGGTGCCGGGTTCGATCCCAGCTAGAGACGATTTGTCATGCGTTGGTTTTGATAGTAGTATACAGAGAGTTGATCTTACATAAAGCAATGGCAAACTACTAAACGTAAAATTTGCCTAGAAATACCACAAACGCCAAAAAATGCTGGGGTTGGTTTTGCAACCACCTCTGAAGGATACGCAACATATCTACCATAAACTAGACTCCATTAACGTTAACTATACACAGCTGCACGTAATCACAGTAAACTAGACACATCAACCGAAAACTAGACTTTACTAACGTTATCTATACACACCTGCACGTAATCACATTAACTTGACACATCAACCATAAACTAGACTCTACTAAAGTCAACTATACACAGCTGCCAGAAACTATACTTAATCTAAATAAACTAGACACATCAACCATATACAAGACTATATTAACTTTAACTACTCATGGCAACCAGAAACTATACATAATCACAGTAAACTAAACACATCTACCATAAACTAGACTCGACTAACGTTAACAGCTACCAGAAACTGTACATACTCACAATAAACTAGACATATCTACCACAAACTAGACTCAAATAGGCTAAACTAATCCTTGGTTACAGACAGAAGCCTACCTGATAAACATCTCTGTCAATAAGGGGAGCTTGAACTAAGGGGTACTGTTCACTTACACAGCCAGGTTTGATTTGGTTGAGGGTAATAGGTAAGTGAGGGATATCAAACTCCAGAACAGAGTTGTGAGCCCAACTTCTAGGCTTGCATTTATAACTTGCACCTTATTTAATGACGTCATTTAATAGTGTTCGGACGATTCAAATTAAGACAGGTGTATGGATGGGGGTTAGGGGCATCATATTTAGTAAGGTAGGCCGTTTGTGGCACAAAATTAAAAGACATACTATCTTTCCTTTTTCTCTTTTACCTTCTTCTCGTCCTCCTCATTCCTCTTCCTCTCCTCCTGCTCCTTCTTCTCCTTCTTCTCATCCTACTCCTGCTTCTCATCCTCCTCCTCCTTCGAATCCTCCTCCTCCTCCTTCTTCTTCTTCTTCTTCTTCTTCTTCTTCTTCTTCTTCTTCTTCTTCTTCTTCTTCTTCTTCTTCTTCTTCTTCTTCTTCTTCTTCTTCTTCTTCTTCTTCTTCTTCTTCTTTTTCTTTCAATTTCTTCTTCTTCTTCTTCTTCTCCTCCTCCTCATCTTCCTCCTCCTCCTGGTCCTCATTTACCGGCTGCAGACTTCGGGGGAATATTCTGATCGTTCGTCCACTCTGAATGCATTTGCATGCAAATAGTTAGTTCCTCGTCTCTCAGGCAAATGCACTCCGACTTCGAAAGTAGCTTCCATTCAGTCGACATTCTTGTTTGGAAGGCAGTGAGTCACACCCTTTGATTCATTTTTCGGTTAACGTAATGTTAATCGCCCCAAATACAGTAGGTCACATTTCATTCACAAGTTGTTGGGCTGGTTGACTTTCCTGATGGTTACGGAGTGTACCGCTCTGTTCTCTGGTTTCTCCGATGTCTTGCATTTACGTTTTCTTTCCGAAAAAGAGATTGCCTATGACATAGTTTGCAGCACTCTCTTGGGGGGGGGGGGGGAGGGGGGACGGGTTGTTGTGTTAGACTCCATGTTTTTAGAGTGGTAAAAGCGCTGGCGTGCTGAAATATACAAGACGCGATATCAACGGCATTGCGGAACACCGATGTAACCTTGTGCGAAAGTTACGCGGCTCAGGAACTACTAATTGAAAGTGAGCTAGTGTATATATGGGGGGGCGTGGGGAGGTTAACGTTACTTGTACCTGTTTGTTTTTTTTAAACGACTTAAGATTTCTGTTCTAGGAACTGTCTTAAAATAAGCTTTTAGTTAGTTCGGTTTTGTTTGTTCGTTTGTTTTTAGGCACAAAAGCTGATCTTAAGTACGGCTTATATTATAAGCGTCCTGAAACAACATGCTAGGATTGGGTCTTACTTTTAGAGTAAATATTTAATTTGTGTTTAGTATGGCAAGGGAGATCCGCTGTGGTGCAGCGGCTAGACGCTGGCCTGCGGATGGGAATGTCGTGGGTTCCGTTCCTGGCGGAGGCCGGACTTTTTTCAGAAATGGCCTTAGCTCTCAGGTCGACCCAGCCTTGAGTAGGTACCAGGTACAGTCTTGGGAAGTAAAGGCAGCCGGTGGGATGCCGACCACATCACCCACCAAATGCCGTTTGGTGAATGAAATATCCCCAATACGCCTAAAAGACCCGGAGAAGGGTCCTCTACTTTTTACTTTTACTTTTTTATGGCAAGGGGCTTAAGTCAATGCCGATCAAATAATTCAGGTTTTTTTTACTTCTTCAGTGCCGTTCAGTGAAGAAAACAATAATGACATTTTTTTTTTTAATGGCAACATGTTTGGGTTAACGTTATATTCTAAAGAAAAGCAACGAAGTTTTGTTTTGAATAACAATACCGCTGGCCTTAATGATATGTTCGAAAAATAAATATTTCATATCAGCAATTTTTCTTTTAATTGTATCCTATGTTGTTTAGCCTAACGTTTCGGTCAATGATATTCATAGTCTGCACGAAAAAAAAGCAATATAACTGTAGTTTATTTTGCAGTCTTGCATCACTGTCATATTCTAAAGGAAAATAACAAAATTATGTTTTGTGTGGCTGACAGTTTGTATGAATATCATATTCTGAGTTCTGTGATTTGTATGGCAAGACGTTTGAGTCATATTCTGAATGTGAAAAACGAAGTTCTGTACATTGTGTTGCGAAACGTTTGAGTCACTGTTATATTCTGAATGTGAAAAACGAAGTTCTGTACATTGTGTTGCGAAACGTTTGAGTCACTGTCATATTCTGAATGTGAAAAACGAAGTTCTGTACATTGTGTTGCGAAACGTTTGAGTCACTGTCATATTCTGAATGTGAAAAACTAAGTTCTGTACATTGTGTGGCGAAACGTTTGAGTCACTGTCATATTCTGAATGTGAAAAACGAAGTTCTATACATTGTGTGGTGAAACGTTTGAGTCACTGTCATATTCTGAATGTGAAAAACGAAGTTCTGTACATTGTGTTGCGAAACGTTTGAGCACGTTTGAGTCATTGCCATATGATATGCTTTGTTTGGTAAGACGTTTAGGTCATTGACATATTCTGAAGGGGTAAATCCAGAAACTGTGTTTAGTATGGCAAGTGGTTTGGGTTAATATCCTTTTTAAAATTGTGTTTTCTGGATGGCAGATAACTTTTGATCCCCACAAAGGTGGGGGAGGGGGGTGGTGGAATCTCGGAGCTTCTGCCTCTTAAGGACTAAAAGAGTAATGGTTTCTTTGTACTGAGGCCCTGAACAGTAGTAACAATCTTTGTAGAATTTTTTAAGGCTACTGAAGTGGCATGATAATTTGACATATATATGTACTGTTTAGAATACTTTGGGCAGCCAAAAAGAGCAACCAAGAGGTTTTGAAAGAGGCGGGAGCCCGAAGACAACTTATCACAGACATCAGAAGGAGACAGTCATCATGTTTCGGCCATGTTATGAGAAGAGGGAAAATAGAACATGTTGTGACCACTGGAAAGATCTGTGGAAGGAGGGACAAAGGAAGACAACGAAAAAAGATTTTTGAGTCTTGTTGCATGGCATGGAGGTGTGTCAGCACACAAACTGATACATGCTGCAGGAGATCGCAGATTGTGGAGAGTCATGATCGCCCACACCAGTCGGCAAAGCACCTGATAATGATGATGATGATGATGATAATGATGATGTACTGTTTGTCATTTATAGAAGAAATATGAAGAAATTGAAAGACACACCAGACAACCTGAAATAAAAGCTATAGTTGTAGTACAGGTTTTGTACCCGCCCTACCTGTAATAGTTGACTCTGTTGCGTCTATTCTTATGACGGCTAAACCTGTCAAAGTTCTTCTTCTTGGTTTATGGTATTCTGAGAATATTTCTTTAGCATTTAGTCAAAACTGGCAGCAGGCTTGAGATGTGCTGTGGAGCTGTGTACCTGGTCTGTCCATGGGTCGCAGGTGCTGTCCGTGTATTATATGGGAGTCTGAGCTGTTTACGTGGCCTGTCCATGGGTCGCAGGTGCTGTCCGTGTATTATATGGAAGTCTGAGCTGTTTACGTGGCCAGGTGTTGGGAGTCAACAACGGCTATCTAAAGTCTTTAGTAAAGGTGACGTTCCTGTGTTAGTGACGTGCTCACAAGTAATGGTGGTACTTCGTGAGTCAACACCGGCTACCATTACTGTCAATGTTTTTAAGATGCTGGTCAAAGAGATAGTGGCATTTTGTGTATCTACACCGGTTACAAAACTATGAAGTTTCGCTGGTGTTATGTACAAGTCATTGATTGCACTGTGAGGTAGTCAAAACTGGCTGCCGATTTTTTG